ACTCCATAACGACCTCGAGGAACCCGTAACCCCCTCGGGAGGAGCTCTCGGCGCCGGGGGCGGCCCGGCGGTGGCCACCAGGAGATACCTGCAGGAAGCGGATGAGGTAGCACAGCACCATCCTGTTGAGGCGGGGCAGCGCGTGGACCACGGCGACGGCGGCCACCGGGTCCTCGTAGCTGGAGATGCTCCGCTCGTAGAACTCGTGCGGGATCAGCGGCTCCTCCAGCTCGCGGTACCAGAGCTTCAGCAGCGACGCTGCCGGGACAAGGACAACCTCAGGAGATGACACGTCCCACCCCCGTGGACCTCCCCGAGCCCACCCCGACGTCGGCCGCGATGTCCTACCGGGGACGTGCGGGTCCTCCAGGCCGGTGGGGATCTTCCACTGGTCCACCTGGAGCTTCAGGGCGTTGACCTCGTCGATGTCACCGGGGACCCTGAGGGGGAGGACAGGAGGTGGTGGCCAGGTGACCTCCAGGGGACGTCAGATGGGCGTGGAGATGGTTGGTGGGACCGAGATGTCCTGGGGGACACCGTGGAGGAACCTCCATGGTCTTGGAGATGTTCTAAGAGCTTGGGGCCACCAAAAGCCCACCATGATGGTGGTGGCCACCATGGAGGAACCTTCATGATCTTGGAGATGTTTTGGTGCCACCAAAAGTCCACCATGACTGTGGTGACCACCATGGCCATGGAGCAAGGAGCAATTGAAGGGACCTTCTGGATGGTGACTCCGGTGACCACCATGGAGGAACCTCCATGGCCTTGGTGATGTTCTGGTGCCACCAAGGCCTCACCATAAGTGTGGTGGCCACCATGGAGGAACCTCCATGGCCTTGGACCAAGGAGAGGCTGGTGGGACCCACTGGATGGTGCCACCAAGACCTCACCATGAATCTGGTGGCCACCATGGAGAAACCCCCATGGACCTGGAGATGTTTTGGTGCCACCAAGACCTCACCATGATTCTGGTGACCACCGTGGAGAAACCTCCATGGCCTTGGAGATGTTTTGGTGCCATCAAACCCCACCACGACTCTGGTGTCCACCATGGAGAAACCTCCATCCCTTGGACCAAGGAGAAGCTGGGAAGATCCACCAGGTTGGTGCCACCAAGATCTCACCATGGCTGTGGTGGCCACCTTGGAGAAACCCCTCATTGAACAGGAGAAGTTGAAGGAACCTTCTGGATGGTGCCACCATGACTCTGGTGACCACCATGGAGNCCACCACACCTCTGGTGTCCACCACGAAGAACCCCAACCCCTTGAAGAACCCACCAGAGCAGAAGATCCCCCAAAGCCAAACCCTTCCCGTTTCCATCCAACCCTGAGGAGAACCTCCAGCCCACCACCTCCGGAGGTCCACGCCGGGGTGGGGTGGCCTTACCGGAAGATGCCCTCGGTCTGGTCGCCGTTGAGGGCCAGGACCTCCTCGGAGAGGCGGGTCTGGACCCAGGGCAGCTGCCGCTCGGGGAAGAGGTCCTTCTGCATGGCCACGATCTCCTGCAGCGAGCTGCCGAACATGGACGGCTTGAAGACCACGTTCTTGGCGTGACGGATCTCCTCCAGGTTCGGCTTCTTCAGGCCCTGAGGGGACAACCGGGGGTCACCGCGGGGGTTCCTGGGGTGGGATGGTGGGGTGGAGGTGGTGGGGTCAAGGGGTTTCTCCAGGGTTGGATCCATCAATGGATCCATCAACCAACCATGGATCCACCATCCAT